AAAACCGAAATTGAACGGCCGTGTAAACATGGGGCTTAACGAGCCCAAGCCATGAGCACCACCACCACCGCACATTGCAGCCATCATCATACTTGTTGTACCATTCATCATCTCCTTGATCACAGGAGATACACAGTTTTTCACGGTTTCTTCGATCAAACCACCGAGATTTCCTCCAATACCAGCAGATGCGGTTTCGTTGAGGTTAACATTACTAGCTGCATTTGGTATATGCACATCAGAGTGAGTCATGATGGGTTTGTTGTTGTTGTCTTCTTCAATCTTCCCAATTCTCGATCTTGATCGTTTCCTCGATCCGCTACTACTACTCATTGTCAATTTCCTCTCGACACCGTTTTCGGAATCGATGATATCTATAGCAGGATTAGAGCTAGGGCTATGAAAATTCGAGTAATTATTACTATTGGTGTTGTTATTTCCATTGGTTTCTTCGAAATCCATTACATTGTTGTCTTCAAACCCAATGATTTTCCCAGTTTGGTTCCAGATTTTCCTAGAAATCTCGAAAGTAGATTGATCATGAGGGCTCTTGAAGAATACCTCTTTACCGGAGCTGATTTTGCTCATCACATTCCGGTACTTCTTCTTCAACCTCCTCAGCTTCTCCACAAGCTGGTTCTTGTTGAAATCAAGCTGAAGTTTCGACTTTATCTGCTCGTAAAACGGCGCCGTATCTGGCGGATGAGAGCTGCTTCCTCGGTGAGTCGTCATGTAATCGAGAAACCCACGAAGAAGCTCGATCTCGTCTTCATCAGTCCATAGCCTCTGAAAAAGACGTCTCGAATCATCGATCGGTGGTCTCTGATGTACGATCTCCGTCATACGGTGCCATTTCGGATCGGAATCAACCGGAATTACGGAGACGGGAACGGCGGATCCAGCCGGAAGAGCGACGGTTACGGTGCCTGTAGAGGAAATCGTCGCCGTTTCGGAAACGATCGCAATCGTAGACGGAGAATTCAGATCTTCTTCTTCGGGATCGTCTTCTTCAGCTTCGGCTTCGTTTGTCTCCGGCATAACGACGTCGTCGTTCTCGCGTAAATCCTCGTCGGTATCAGACTCTACTCCGTCTCCTACACCTCCTTCTTCCAGATCCGGCGATTCCAGAGAGAAAACAGCGTCGCGATGATCCGATGTCATCTCCACGAAACAATTCGCCGGCGAGGGGAACAGATCTGAGTCGTTGAGGTCTCCGATCTCAAAGGTGAAGAGCCA